ATGATTAGCACAGTGATCAAGGTTGTTCAGTGGCTGAAGTATGTTCTGGATGTGTAGTACAATGGTCAAGGTTGTTCAGTGGCTGAAGTATGTTCTGGATGTGTAGTACAATGGTCAAGGTTGTGCAGTGGCTGAAGTATGTTCTGGTGTGTAGTGCAATGTTCAAGGTTGTGCAGAGGCTGAAGTATGTTCTGGTGTGTAGTGCAATGGCCAATGGTTGTGCAGTGGCTGAAGTATGTTCTGGGTGTGCAGTGCAATGGTCGAGGTTGTTTAGTGGCTGAAGTATGTTCTGGATGATTAGCACAGTGGTCAAGGTTGTTCAGTGGCTGAAATATGTTCTGGGAGTGTAGTACAATGGTCAAGGTTTTACAGTGGCTGAAGTATGTTCTGGATGTGTAGCACAGTGGTCAAGTTTGTACAGTGGCTGAAGTATGCTCTTGATGTGTAGCACAGTGGTCAAGGTTTTACATTGGCTGAAGCATTTTCTGAATGTGTAGCACAGTGGTCTAGGTTGTACATTGGCTGAAGTATGTTCTGGATGTGTAGCACAGTGGTCAAGGTTTTGCAGTGGCTGAAGTATGTTCTGGATGATTAGCACAGTGATCAAGGTTGTTCAGTGGCTGAAGTATGTTCTGGGTGTGTAGTACAATGGTCAAGGCTGTACAGTGGCTGAAGTATGTTCTGGATGTGTAGTGCAATGGTCAAGGTAGTTCAGTGGCTGAAGTATGTTCTGGGTGTGTAGTACAATGGTCAAGGTTGTACAGTGGCTGAAGTATGTTATAATTTGTTATTATTTTTAGAAATGTTTAAGCGTTAATTAAAGCTCGGGTCGTCATCTGAGCATGCGTCATTGTTCACAAACAAGCGTTTGCATTTTTAGCGTGTGTTATCGTCGCTTGGGACTCAATTCTCGCGCGTGCGCAGGTGACGAACCTCCCGCTTTAAATAATCCTAATTAAATTATGTTCATAACGTGTTGTAAATTTAATTAGATTTTTAAAAACTTGTTGGAACATGATGAACATAATTTTTATATGGTAAGTGCATGCACATAAGGTTGTTAAGTGACACGTTTCCATATGACAACAGAACACAGCGCTACTTACAGTTGGGGTCGAGCAATCTTACAAAAAGTTAAAACCAATCAGTAGCAATGCTTGACAGTGTCGAAGGTTTGCTGTTCAAAATTCAATTACAGTAACATTATGATTATCAATTCTATATTGTTCCATTTGCGGAGTGCTTCCGGTGAATTATTATGAATTGCGCGCTCGATATCTTACGTTTTTGAAAAGCGATTAAGTTCTATAATATATCGTACTTCAGGTATGGTCCCCGGTGACTATACCTGTGGTGCAATTGATATTCATAACCATGCAGATTTGTTGAGAGCAACATTCTTAAAAGTTGTTCCCATTGTAATTGGTAATATTCCAATATTTTGCTGCCGTATAAATTGTACCACGCGTAAGTCATTCTTTTGAGGCGTGATATGTTTCCCTGTGTATCAAAAACGGCGTAGTTAGGAACCGCCGCAAAAGGGCGTGGTAAACAACGGATGGTGAACGTGAAGCAATGATGCAATATGGTTGAAAACATATTTTTTTAAATACTGTTCGACATTGCACGTTGAAGACTAAATCATACTATAATTTATAATAAACTAAACATGTTCAAATTGTTTGTGGAGCACACTGTATAATATTCGTTCGACAAAAAACACACAAATACGCATGCGCGATGATTGTCCGTGTCAATTGATAATTTCATTGTTTCATGGAACGAGTGCTTGTTTTTTGCGAGGAGAACAGCGGTTTTAGTTCATGATGAATCATAATCGAATGTATTCATCAATTAAAACTATCAAACAACATCATTAAAAATGTAATGTTCGTCCAAAGTGTATCGTTTAAAGTACAGCAACATACGAAACAATAGCTTAGTCTGTAGCTATCCCCTCTAAACCAAAATGAAGCAAAACAAGTATATACCATATGAGTATATGTACATGCACATTGTATGCAGTATTTTAAAATTCATGGGGGATGCAAATATGAACAATAACAAAATAACACTAAACACAGAACGCGTGATTTCTTGCGCAATTATTTACATGTGAATATATGACTGTTTCTAAATCGGGCATAAAATAGCGATGTATATAGTTCAATTGGGCGGGGAAGCATGACAAACGAAATGATAGTTCGTGCTCATCATCAAATATCCATCAACTTATTGATAATCACGTTGACCCACATTTATATTGAAAGCGAGGCCAATTGACGTCATAGCATTATCTGATTGGCTATTCGTGGAAAATAATTGCATCCAAGGTTTTCGTACAAAACTGCCCATGGTTTGTTGATAAGCAGGGAAATTTTCAATCTACAACAATATCTAATTAAATTTGCGACACAGAATAGCAATTATAAAAAGTGCAACCTATGACGAAACTGTCATAAACTCAAATTACATCTCCGAGGCGCTCGTGAACAGGTACTATATGTCCATCGCGCGATGGGTGAATAAGCAGCTGTGACATTCATTAAGATAATATATGTCGGCGCATTTTATTGGCCGTTCAGTGGAAAACAACAGGAACATTAAGTCACCATTTCGGGGGTATTTATCAGTTACAGAAAAAAAAATGCATTAGAAGTGAACAAATTTGAAACTAGTGTAAACGCAAAGATAACAAATTGTACTGTTTCTTTATTTAACTCTAATAAAACCAGAATCAGATATTGGGGGTAACTCATAATCAGACCAATCAGCAAGTGCCTTTCATAAAGCGGTGAAGGCGGAACGTTACAGCTGAATAGCGAGGTGTTCCGCGGTTCATTACTATCATCAACATGGCGGCCAATATGGACGACGAACAGAGTTTGAAAGAATGCGAAGCTTATGTTCAAAGGCACAGTATTCAGCAAGTTTTAAAGGAATGCATAGTTCAGCTATGTATCAACAGACCAGAAAATCCACTGACTTTCCTGCGTGAACATTTCGAGAAACTAGAAAGGGTGAGTCGTTCTCTAAGGGCCCTTTAGTTTCTTGTGTTATGTCTCGGTCCATCACATCGGTCGTACCGTGTAGCGATTCCGTTCTCTTGGAAATCAGACTGGCGACCCCATTATTTCCCTAGCGTACGCTGCTCACTGCTTGCTATCCATATTTCCATTATTAAAGATGCGTGTCACATGATCAACATAACGAGACGATCGATGGTTGTGTGATCTCCCCTGGAAAAAAATCGCCGTGTTGCTATCGGGAATTATTCAGCACGGGGATATTAGCAGGTTTTTAGCTTATTTTTGTTTTCGTCTCCACGACAGCTGGACTGCGCTGTTATCTTTTTCGTTCGGTATTTATAGTCATGAATTTTTTAAGGTCGATTTTCAGAAGGAGAAAGACTTCAAGATCGCGAAATTCCTCCGTAAGTGTTCTTGTTTAAATATGCATGTTTCGTGCCTTTTAGTGTATTTGACAATCTGCTTTTTTGTTAAGGTTTGTCGATCGTTTCATGGTTGTGTCTGTTCTTAAGCATCTAATTTTGTTGTATATTTAACAGATGTACGGTATTATATTTTGTTCAAACCATGTCTTTTAATTCAAATGAACAATCGCACTTTAAAATGGAATGGTGTGTGAGTGAAAGGCCTTACCCCTATGGTGTATATAGTACTCCTAAGTGTTACAAATGTAATAATGCTACATCACTAGTAGTAGTAGTAGTACATGTAACTAGCAATGTATAATACATTGGGTCAGAGATGTTCATTATTGTTCAAGGAAATTAGGTCTGTTGAAAACATATGGACTAATCGGTTTGAATTGTTCGCTTGATCTTTGTAATAATTAATTGACAGTTCATTGAATTAATGCTAATTTAATTGCAGATTCTGATTGCCACAAATTCAAGACACCATTGTGTCAGATCGTTAAATGCATTATTAAAAACTGTGGTTGTGTTATGGGTAAATTTCACATGATTTTTTGTTTTCAGTTCTTCATTCTATAATATTATTTTTTTTGTGTGTGTATCTTCTTCCTGGTATTATATTGCACTATTTCCATGAGTGAAAAATTAACTTAGAAGCAGATTTTGTATTTTTGCATGATGTTGGGGGTCATGTATAGAGTTGGTCTTCTCTACATTTATATACATGTATATATACCCTGTCTGCATACATGATGCCTTTGGTGTTTAATTTTGTCCATGCACTGACTGACTGACTCACTGATTGATTTTACAGGTTGATTGTCAGCTAGCTTTCTCGCATATAAAATACCTCATTCTGTGCATTAATTGTGCTGCGATAAATGGCAATTAATAAATTGAAAAAATCCTTGGCACATCATTGTGAATCATGATGACCTTTGCCAGAGAATTTTTTTTTTTTCCCTTCTTCATGGGCTGACATGTGTTCTGTGATTAAAAAATATATGGAGAAAGGTGATTTTGCATATCTACATCAGTGTAATTTGATTTTACTTGATAAAATAATACCAGTACATTTAAAACAAAGCTGGAATTTTGTCTCACCACTGAGGTATTTAAATGCCCTGCGTTTTTTTTATTTCATCTGGATTTGTTAATTTTAATTGAGTTGATCAAAATAAAGTAAAATCTTTTAATTACAGCCCTTTGCATTTAGCTCGTACCTTGTAACTGAAGCCACAAAATGTGACCTGAATGTAGTGGTATCAATTTGTACATATTAATTATAATACTACTAGTTATTTGAACTGAACTAATATCCAGTATTTCGATGTTGTAATTTGTCAGCCGTGCCAGATTAGTATAGATGAATTGTTACTTTGTGGAAATTATTGTGGTTTCATGCATGTAGCACTATGGTGATGATGTTTCAAAGTGTATAGTGAAGAACAGACTTGTCTCTATGATCTCTCTGCCTTTTTCCAGTTTTCCTTTCATTTGGGTTATCTGACTAATTATGAATTCATTGTATGTAATCCCTGGTGTTCAAAGGTCATTACTGGGCAAGCATTATTTACAGTTTAGTTCTGAAACTCAAATAACCACTCATTTCGTGTTAGAATTAATCATGGTATATCCCAGTTCCCATAATTCAAAATGATAATGGTGGTGAAGACTCGCTATTTTTCATTTGTTTCTATGAAAAATTGTAATTATAGTTTAATCAGGGGATACAAGTTGTATGAAGTGTGGTTAAAAAAAATTCTCATTTAGCATTTCAAAATAATTTAGTGTATGTGAAGTTACTATTAAAAAAAAAACCATATTTCCAATTACACTCATTGGACATTGAATTAGCTGCAAACATTGCCAAATTTAATGAGTGGATATCATGATTTTTTTCAAATTGAGGTTGTTATATTATGTAGTGACGTTACATGTAGGAGTGCTCAATTAAATGGCAAATATGATGTGATTCGCATCGCCATTGATGTTAATTTTCAGCATTATTAATGGTGTCACCCTAAAACCAGACTTTTATTTGGCCATTTCAAATTTAAAAAAATATTTATAAAATAATAAACCAAATTACAGTAATTAAAATTTGTATAATTTTTGCTATTTTGTGTAGAGGCCTGTAAAAAAATAGTTGGCAACTGCACATTTATGTTTATGATGCCTTACAATTGTTTATGGCATTTTTCATCAAACTTGCTTTCAAAAATCATGAAAAAAATACATATAATTTTAAATTCTGTCACAATTAACTTTGGATCCAAATTTGGTGTTCCATGTACATGTAGTTGTAAAACAGTAATTTTTAATTGCTGCTCAACATACCATTAGTATTACTGGGTGTAAAAGAGAAGACCGCATATTAGAAAATGACATGATAGGGATAATTTGTCAACATGCCAGAATCAGCCTGTCACATTGGTCTTTACAACTTAGCAACACTTTTGACTTGCATTAATTAATGTCACTGCTGTGTCAGTAAACATTACTATAATTTCACCATTTTGATTCCAAGGTTACAATTGAATTACACTTCGCTGCTGGACTCCGCTTCAGTCTTTTGCCATTCACAAATTGCATTTAAATTTGGTTACAACAAATCCTGTCCCTTGCACCACCATGGCTCAGATGAATTACAAATCATGAATTATTTTGAAAAAAATGATCATCATTTTAAAAAATACGTGTATGTCTTCACCCACAGAAAGATTAATTAAATATCAAATGATCAAGAAAACTTCTCACCAGAAATTAAATATGTGGGAGGAATTGTTCTATCATTTTATAATACGAGACAGTTACACATCCATGTTTAACTAGAAACAAAATAGTTGAGACAGTGTACTCAAATGTTCATTATGTTTGAATTTAATTTTATACTTATAAATTGTCACTTGAATTTTCTTACATTTTTGTGAGACAATTTATCTGATGAGAGTTAGGGATAATTGTTGGTGTGTTTGGGTTGGGGTGTGCGTGTTCCACTGATACATGTATCTCAAGAACCAATTAAAAGATTTCAATTAAGCTTGGTACATAAATGCTCTGGGTTAATACTAATGTGTATTAATTAGCCGATGTTTAGCTTCTACCAATATTACCGGTAATGACTTAATTTGCATATGAATTATTCAATTTTAACATTTTCACTTGTTTCCCGAATACCATTTAACAGATTTTAATGAAATTTGGTACATAGATTTTAGGGCTAATAATCAGACCCGACCTAATTTGCATATTCATTAGGCGATGTTTAGCTTCTATTAATATTAATGGCTTTGTTTTGATTTTGAGTTGTTTAGCCTACAACTTGGCCACGACCTTTGCTTTTACTGTGAAACATGGTAAGTTTACGTCAATTTGATGGACGTTTCATTTTTTAAAAACTGTCTATCCCTATTTTTTTTCATTTGCGGATTTCCATTCTGAAAAATTTTACTGTTTGAAAATGCACCTTAATTTTGTAATCTAAAAAACGTCAGATTTTCAGCACAAATTATTTAAAACTGGCAGTTTTTACGGTAATTTGTTTATCATTTTTTATTTTTCTAAGCATTTTTGAAGTAAATACTTGTGTACTTGTTCCTCAGGAAAAGAGTGGACCACATATTATCAAGATTATCGTATAGAGTTGATTTAGACACATAATATGTTCTTCTAGCTTGAATGGTCACCGCGATCAACAGCTACAATCACAATCACTTGTATGTTGGGCGATTAAGTTGAAATGCTGACATCTATTGCCATAAAAATCTCCACAATCTCTATCTCTATGTCATTGTTTTTCAAGTTTGTCAATTTGAGTTTGATGTTTGATCATAGAAGAGGTTTTATGTCCATTAAGGAAATAGAAGCTTCAATGGTTTGGGTACATCACCAGACAACCTGGATTATTGACAATTGAAATTTGAAAACTGGCTGAGCAAATTGACAGCCCGCTGGTGGTTGCTACCCAAATTTGCATATATTTTTAAATCCCAGCAGTGATTTTGTTACAAACTACAGTGATTATTACAGTAATTATTAAGACCTGGTTATTGTCAAAGTTATGTAATTGCAACCAATATTGCATTTCTATTCCGACATTCAATATGGAGAACTTTCAAACATTGATATGACATATGACATGCTGATACATTGTACAAAGATAAAATATAAAGTCAAAATGAAGGCTTTTTTGAACTGTAGTGGTAATTTTAAAAATATAAAAAGAAAACTGCATAGCATTTTGAACAGAACTGGAATCTTGCATGTAGAACCACAGTCACTGACTGTCCTATTAATTTTTATTTTAATTCACAACAAAAATGCATTAACTATGCACAGGTGCATCACTGAGTACATTGATAATCATTATCTTTTTAAGGCCTAACTTGGCCAATCAGATCAGATCAGTGCAGTTTGATTTAAACTGTAGTTTATTCTGAAGTCAAAACATAACTCATTCTCATCTTGGAACTTGGCAACACAATACCAGTTTGCTGCAGGATTATGCGTTGTGTAGCGTCACACAAATATTTTAACAACCTGTGTTTGTCAACGCATTCAAAATAGCTACCTTTTATT